GAAATCGAATTTTCGACCCTTGCCGCGAAATTAAGAATTTGTCTGATTTTTACAGGCAGGCACTCTTAAGTTCTGACCAATCCTCAGCTATCAGTTAAATCCCTTGTGAAGTGGCTCAACGCGTAAACGAGCTCTGTTGTGCCAATGGCCCATTCCCTATAGGGGTCTGCATACGAGCCAAGTGGCCCGTCAGGCCAGAGCTTATTCCAGTTTCTGTAGCATGAAGCGACAAGAAGTATTTCTATACCCCCCTATGCTGGATGGGATGCTAGTCCATCGCAAGGTTACACCCAGCATTAAATTCGCCGGTACCCATTTGTACACCTGGGCGAAATAAGGCACCGTGAGAGTAAATTGTCTTGCCTTCTATGGGATGTGCCTGCAGGGAATCATGGTTGCTGTTTTCATCATCTGAGACCGGATATTTGTTTTGATGAATGCAACTACCATGATTCCCTGCAGGCACATCTCATAGAGCATCACCTCATGGCCATTCAGACCTCGAGTAATAAACAATGTGCATGTATTCCTACCAATAATAGTGACTGTAAAAACGCATGATTGTGAATTTCCACTCCTGTCCGTGGCCGTGTAGATTATGCGTGATGTGCCGATCGGAAACTCGTAAGGAGAGATGGTATCTCTTGGGAAGCTGGTAATTAATGGTGGGTAAGCCGAGTTATCTCTTGCCATTGGCCATCTCCATTGCACTTTCCTAGTTGGCTTGCTGGTGTCTGTGCTGGCCAGCACATCATCAGGACATTCTATGTTCGGTGGCTGGTTATCTTGGCAAAGAGGACATGGGATAGCTTATTAGAGAAAACCTCCCTTAGTGGCTGTAGCTATGATACTGATTATGGACGTCTCTTAGGCAGCAATCGCTTTTTTTCAACAAAATGAAGAGAGCTAGCTTCACTAAATATATCAATATAAAAAGTAAAACGAGATCTGTTTGAGTACTGATAAACGAGGCCAAAATAAGCCGCATGGGAGATGACAGAAATAGTTTGAAAATAGTTTATTTTTTTACTGGTAACCTTAATGGTAAACAGATCCTATGGGAGAAAAAGTTAGGTCGCAATATTTAAACTGCAGTGGTGACGTTTTATAGTTTTTGACCTTTAAATGGATTTCCATTTCTAGGAATTGTTAATACAGGGCAGCTGATGCAAAACGTATGCCTCACATGCATAACTGAGGTAGATGAAGTGGTGCTACCTGTACTTTCATTCAACTGTTTTGGAAGCTCACAACTGTACGTCGAAAAGCACCTTACCCTGATAATCCTCTAGGCCAAATCCTGCCCGCTCTTGATTAGTAACCAAAACTGAAAACAAAAATTAAAGAGAGTTTAACAAAAAGAGGCGTGTTTATAGGCGCGTGAGAGTTAGTGCAAAGTTCTCTGTTGTATTTAAAACTGAAGGGAGATTATGGGAAATAGTTCCAGTTAAATCCCACAAACACCTTATTAAATTCAGCTAGAACGTTACATGAACTCTTTCCCTCACCTTGCTGATGATCTTTCCTTATCTTTTACTAACTTACAACAGAAGAATAGCGACCAATTTCCGTTAGAGAAAGCTACAAACCCAGATCCTAGTTCATAAGTACTAAAGCAATGCAACACAACAACAGTAAGAATCAATGCACTCGGTAATATCTATCTCGCTGTAATTTAAAAGCTAGTAAATAATTATTGCAGGCATACTGAATGAGAAAGAGAAAGCTCATTTACTGTGCTGTATTTCTAAAATAGTTTTGGTTAGGATATTTCATGGCGTTAAAATATCAGCAGTTGATCTAACCAAGACAAGCTGGATTACTGACTTCAGAGAAGAATCGAAGAACAATTTTTTTAAAATAATAATAATAATAATAATGATAATAACAAACGAATTTTTAAACAGGATTAACCCATCAGTATTTGAAAGTTCTGTTGTCATAGGGGTCCTGTAAGACTTTTTAATTGTTATCTGAGTCCTTGAAAACAACACTCAGCATTTTCACGGCTTGAAGTTAAAACTGGCCCACAATACATACAAATTGCTTTGTTTTTTAAAAATAAATATCTTATCGCCAGCTGTAGAAGGTATGTTTAGAAATCATTTCTAGAAGACATTTGTAAGAGGTATATACGTACATTTAAAAGTACTTTTCTGTTACCTTTTTCCATCGTGCAGATAGTGAAAAGAAGTACGCCAAAGTGTGAAGTAATCCACATCGTGTGATTATGACAACCAGGCAAACCTAAATGCATAAGTTCAGAATTGAAAGATAGATCTGGACGTAACATGTAAAACACGAAAGACCGTGTTTGACTACATTTCCGAACACCGAGAAGAGAGTTGAAAATAAGGCGCGCAGCGGAGTATTTTTGACGAACTTTGATGTGTTTGGAAATGTGGTCAAACACTGTCTTGAGTGTTTGAAGCTAAACCTAAGGAGTAAATTTCTAATTAACATCGTAAAAATCTATGCTAACTCAGATATCCAAACACCGTCACGATCCTGATTTCCTTTGTTCAAACTTGATGGATTATCAACGAGTTTGAGAAAAACGTCTTCAACACTGATGTACCCACTGGCTGATTGTTGCCTGTTTAATATCGAAGAATTCACATCATTAAATGCTTTCCTGAGGCACTAGAAAGGATGTTAAGCCACAACACCTGAAATTTTTATACTTTATATTGTTTTTAGTGGTCATCATTACGTGCTCACAGTATAGTATGGGCTTACAACTCCATTAACCTTTTCCCTGGTAACGATTCTGTTTCAGTTGCGAATCAGTTAGGGAGGGACACACACGGACGGATTTGAAAACGCAGCTTTATTTCTACGGTTCGGCCTACCGCCCACCCTAATCCGACAAGAAAACAGGGCTTTTCGAAACCTCTCCTCAAACCGGAGGAATTTGAAAATGCTGGCTGTGCGTTTTACTGTGGACAGAGCACATTTTGAAAACGGAGCTTTTCGAAAACGATGACATCACGATAGTAACGTGATTTCCCTCTAGAGGTTTACTCAAACACAAACGAGCGGTGATTGTTGCGTTTTCAAATCACTCCTCCGGCGTAGTGTGGACGTTGCGTAAGGCTAGGATTCTAGGTCGTGCATGTCCACTGTCATGATACGTTTTCATATCTTTTAAATTATTTTGACGCCTATTTTATTTCTCAAATTAAATCCATTTTCCTTGGAATCGTTGATTTGTATGACGTTCGTAGTATTTTCTATTTATACCGAGATTTATTCCCTGCACCCTGAATATAACTTAAAACCGCCGAGTAATATACTCTTATTTTGATCGTTTTTAATCATTTATTAGGCCTTCAATGTTTTCAATGAAGATCTTTTAACAAGAACATATCTTGTTAGGAATGTTATCAGGAGAATCTTCAGTGACAGGTTAATTTAAAATTCATTTCCGACTTAATGTACAGAATATTACACAATGGTTCCATGTTTCCTGTTAAATGTTGACATTTTGAAAAGCATTACGTGGTATTTTAAAAATTGATGATTACAAAACGACTTCTTTTTGCGTTGCACTTTATATGTACGTTAAAATTGAGTTTAATTTTGACAAATGCAGGAAGGTTATCGTTGAAAAGTTAACGGCTCATTTTTGGGCAGTTTTATATTATGATCATTAAATATATCTTCCCGCTATTTAGCACTGAACGTGAAAATCTTTGAAAAGTAAGATTTATTTTTGAAAACCCTTAAGTGGGGAGACAAGGAAAAAACACGGGGAAAACAAATGTAAAGCTCTGGGGAACTAACAGAAGTAGAAACTCGTGGTAATATGATTATAAATGATTCAGTTTGCACAAGCGGTTTTTTTTTTTTTTTTTTTTTGCATTGATCTTAATAAGTTCTAAAACAAGTCAACGTGAAATACAATGAGAGCGGAAAGAAAAGACTTTAACGATAGCACAACTTAATTGGAGTACTCTGAGGGTCTGAACTAGGAAACATGCGATAATCTTTACTTTAACTTCTGACGAAAATTCAAAAGAAAAAAGTTTGATTAACACTTAAAGATCTTAAAATGTGATGGCTCAGAAAGCCAATGTTGCAAATGCAAAAGGACGGATATTTGGAGAACTGAATTGCTTGGACAAATTACATAAGACAAATTGGTTGACATAAATTTCTGCTTGGTCGGTGAAGCAAAGGATGGCTTTTATGAAGTGACTTAGTGATGAACGCGGATAAACAGAAAATGAGTGAAATAAGATGAATCCTCTTGTAACAGGATACAACGTATGTTATTGCATACCAAGAGGAACTATCTCGTCAAACGTGAGACATGAAATGCCATCTTTGAGACTAGATGTCGCACCAAATGACTTTAGGACATAAGTTATAAATTCGATGTTTATGTGCAGAAATTGTGAAAGATTGAAAAATATAGTTGCGGCCTAACCAGAATGGGAAATAAAAATGGAAAATTCTAAATATGCCAAACTTTCGTTTGTCGGAATCTGACAAACAAATGGTAAAATATTGTTCCGGATGCCTTTTTTTGTGATTCATTTCCCCCTTTAGTCGAATTACTGCCTGAATTGTGAAATCAAAAGACATAATGAAAAATCGTACTGTTCTGCATTTCCTGAAGACCTGGTGAATTTCAACTTAAATTTATATTTTGTCTTCAGAAAATGTAATTTTCGTTTTTGAAAACAATTTGCATCTTTTGTGGTTTGTGGTTTCTTGAGTAATCTTAGTAACCTTAAGTTCACTCAATAAGTCACAGAATTTGGTTTTAACTGCAACTAAGCTTATTGTTAACCAGCCAGACCCTTTGCTTTCACGAAAGCAATATCAACTTTTTTGAGTGGGTTTTAGGGCCAAACTCACGTAATGAAGCAAACTCAACAGACGATAGAAGATCGAGAGCCACCACACCACCCTAAAAGAGACATTGTTAAACCTCATTAAAACAGCACTTACAAGACTGGAAACTTCCGTTCACTTTGCTTCTTTGGCGAAGTTGTACCCTTCTTTTACAAGCACTGCGCTGATATTAAACCTCCTTACAAGTTGAAACTCTGTGGAGATTTTGGGTGAGTCTTGCTTCACTCTCTTTTAAAGCGCCCTAATTATGTGTTGATATAATATGAAACCGGCAGGAAAAAACAGGAAAAGAGTTGTTTAACAACCCGGGATCTGATTAAACAGATTTTCTGACACCAGCAAACTAGAAAACAACTAATTCCAAGCTGTGTATATCGCATCGTATTTTTACTACCATTGCTGTCTTAGGAAAAAGCTGCGCATTACCCTTGATATTTCCTTCAAATTCGCTTCCAAAAGAATTAAACAATTATCATTGAACATTGTAAAACCAAATGATATCATCAAGACTTCATTATTTTGAGATAATTATGCGTATATCACGATGAGGAGTTAATTGGCTAGGTCCCAGGTCCTTCACTTGCAAGGGATGGCCAGGTTTGGGTGAAGGGCTTTCAACATGACATATGGAAATGGTTCATAATAGAAAAATAATTAATTATGCATGAAATTCGACTAGTATGAAGATATCAACGTTCTACTCAGGGAACATCTTAAGTCATAATTCCCGTCTGATGGAGACGATAGACTTGACAAGTCTTTATACAATCTGTCGAACTTATTTTACGGCCGCGCATCCAGAAAAATATCCTCCTGTTGCGGGCCGCCGCAAATTTCCCTCAATCAAAGAAATTACATTACTGATGGTACGACTACAATTTTATAAGTTTCTCATTTGTAATCCACCCAATCTTCACCAATCTTATCCAACAACCTTAAAACTATCTCTACTGTTTGTTATTCGCTCTGTGTTTTAATATCGATTTTATCTAATACATTGTATGCCACCTTCTGTTCGATTGGCTAATGCAGAGTTGGACGTTTCGGTTTGGGCCTAATTTGACAAAATTCTTGTAATTTTGATGTTTTCACGGAATAAATAATTTTTTAAAAACCTCTACTTGTCCTGTAGACGACGTTACAAGGCAAATAGAATGAAGACTTTAAGGGCGGCTCTGGACACCTGCATCTTAACAACGCAATGAGAATATTTTAAGATCAAATTACATCATGTGCAGAAGTCACTCTCATGAAATACTAAGGGTGTTGCTGGATGAAATTAAAAACTAAATATTTTTGATAATTAATTCATTTTCTCCCCGGTTTTCGAATTTCTTGATGCCATACTTCGTTTGTACTTGGTTGAGGTCTTTGCCTCCAAATTACACTACGTTTTTGAGACATAAATGTTTTTGTTTGTTTCTCAGTATGTTTGTCTTATTATTACTAATCTGTGGGAAGTTTCAGTGGAGTGAGATTGAGCTAGCTTTTAACACAAATACAACGAGAATTTTACACTACGAAACTTTTATTCATCAAAGAAATTTTAATCGTTTTACATGCATACGACAGTTAGTGTCTTCTTCTCTTAATCTTAACTTGAAGTTTACATTTTTGTTTCAGTTTATTACAAGCATCGCCTCTCTGACTGTTAGTTAACTCGAGTTATTCTTCTTCATTCACAGGTTCTTCAAAGTTTTTCTTTTTGTAGTTCAGCAGAATATCTGCCAACCTCATCCTGTTTCTGCTTCGTCGGAAATTCTGCAATTCCAGGTCACTGTTATCAACAGGGGCCGAGTCATCTGCCTGTCGCTGGTAACGAAAAGAAATTTTTTCATTTAGAGCTGATATTTCTGACTGTACACCAGTTATGAACTGAATTTATGAAACTGAATTCTCACACAGATGATAGGACTGTCAGAGTGTTTACTGCGAATTTAATGTTTAAAAAAGATGAACGCAACAACATTATCAAAAAACTCAGGAAATGCAGTAACAATTTATTTATGCTCAGCTCACCCCTTGTTCGCGATCAACGGAAACAAACTTGTTTTCTCACCTTGCTTCCAGGTGTACAAGGAACTAATACGCAGCTGAATTTCTGAGCATTGCAATTCCCAGAGAAGTTAACCACCATCGTCAATGACAGAAATACGAGAAATATCTTGAAGGCCATAACTGACTGACAAGCCACAAGGCAAAATGTGTACTTATTTGCCTCTATACTGCTTGGTCTGCACGATTCACCCCAAGTGCGATGTAATCGTGAATGATTCTTTTATAAAGGATAACGACACAAAAAGCTGACATAAAGATCTGTCCGCCTGGCGCCTGTGTTGACATTTTGTCGTTCAGGAACTTTTAAAACTTGCTGGAATTGTATACCACGTTTAATGATACATAATTGAGGCCATGTTCTTGTGTACACAACACAGCTAACTTATTAGAATGTGACAGATTCATCAGGTCTGATGGACCGCTATCAGCACCCGCCCGCCAAGAGTTTTTTTCGGTCACTTTAGTCTTGTCAATGAAATGTTTGAAATTTTAATGTTCTTTACGGGCTTGGCTTTCTTCCTGAATTATTTTTGCAGAAGAAATCAAAACAAACATCCCTCGAATTAAAAGTCGAGGATCGTACTCATGACAATTATGTGGTCCGTAGATGCTGTAAATACACATACGATTAAGAATAATCTTGAGAATTACCGAAGATGAATGTTTAATTCCAATGTCAAGGGATTGTCGTGGAGAATTATTGCATCTAAGCACTTTCTCGAGACTATGCTTTCTTACTAACTTGATCCTCCCCGCCCTCTGTGGGGCATGAGGCAAAAGACTGCTATACTACTATACTATACTACAAATCGTTTTAATGCACTTTGTGCAATTTTTAGGGGAGCTTTGTCACGATATTAGAAATTGTTTTTCTGATAATTCAAAATTACTTTCAAATTAAAGGATACCTAACAATTATAGCTTTTTAGAGTTATGAAGGACACGAATTTATGCAAAATAATATAAAGCATTAAATTTTTCGAAAATACACAAGGCTTGTTGCCAGCAAGAGAAGAAGACTTGTTAGTTTACAGTTAGATAAACTTGAAAAATTCTGCAGCTTTTATTCTTTTGTTTTATATTGTTGTCCGTAAATTACATTCTTTAACTTCTTAATCTCTTGGGAAACGATCTTTAAACCTTGCAAAGTTCTTTTTTGTTTTAACGTATGTTAAAATTGATTTGGGCTTCTGAAATAAGCTTTTGGGCCGGAATTTCTTAATTGGAATATTGGGAGATTTACGCTAAAAGAACAAATATATTTAAAATTTTGTTAAGCGGTTTTTCATTCGTTATAAACAAACTGGCGATATAAATTTTAACTATTTGCGCTTTAAAGTATTGTTTACATCGTCTACAGTCTACATCTCTGTGTCTTCTGAATTTTTGGAAGCATTTTAATGACAGGCTCGTCTCATTCTTCATCCATGAGGTCTTTAAAGTTTTCCTTTTTGTAGTTTGGCAAAATATTTTCCAAATTCATCCTCTTGGTTTGTCTTAAATCCTTCTGTTCTAAGCCTTTTCCAAATGGGGCCGATTCATCCTCAGTCAGCTGATGGTAAAAAGAATATTCCTCGTTTAGCATAAATTTCTCTATTAGGAGTTCTCATGAGTGTCATGGGTCACATGATTCTTCGTTTTTCTCACCTGGTCTTTTTTACAAGGTCTGAGTATACATTCAAACCTCTGACATTTGCAGCGACCACAAAAGCCAATCACAACCATTACTGCAAAAGCAACGATGTGTATGAGAAAAATCTTATGCGCCATCTTGAGTGTCGACTTATCTACTCGCAGAAGGTTTGCTTTATATTTCGCTCGTTCCTCGCAGCTTTAAAGTGCTGTTTGATATATATTGTAGCAAGGAGAGTCTTTTATTAAGGCAGCCTTCAGGAAAGCTGATATATTTCACAGTGGTATGTCAATTGGGATAAGTTCATTTCAATCAATATTCTGCGGGAGTGAATTGTTGTTGCAACATGTTGAAATTCAAGACCGATCGAATGATTCTGCAAGTAGCAGAGAACCAAATAGCAGATTGAAGATTTTGCATGTAGGATAGAGGAAAGAAAATTTATATGGCAGTCTTTCAGGCAGTTAATAGATTATCATGTCACACCTACTAAGAACAAAAAAGAAATAAAATTGGAGTGCCTTTCTTTATTATAGGAGCATTGATTAAAATCACACATGGTGTATTTTAAATTTGGTGGTAACTGCCAAAATGTCTCACTATTAAACCGAGCCAGAAAAATTGCCAAAAATTGTCATATGAGAAAGGAGTAAATTTTAAATTTAGAATTGTAAACAAGAACAATTTTAAAATGAAAGTTACTTGGACGGGAAAAATTCTTTAACTACTTCGATATTATCCTGACCAAATTTGGACAAGTTAAGTATAGGTAATCGTTTAAATGGGAGTGCAATTATGGATGTACACTACGAGTGATATCTGAAAACATTTTCAAACATCACGAGTAGTGTAAATCCTGTTGCTCGAGGTTTCATACGATTACACATTTATTATATGACTGAGACCGTGTTGAAATAAAGATTATGTAGATTATGCATGTAAAATTGCGAGCGCGCGCGCGTTAATTTGCCCTGCAGTCCAAATTACGAATTAACGAGAAATTGGCCTGCTCCCAGCCAGTCACAATGGAGTCATAAGTTATATAATAAGCTAAGAAACTAATCTTACAAAATATCAAGGTATCATAGCTGGTCTTCAATTTTATGTAAATTAAACAAGAACGTTTCGGCCCGAGTTTGTCCTAATTACCCTTTGTGAAACGTTTGCTCTCCGACAAAGTCATAAAAATCATAAGGATAAAGATCAAGGTGTCAGCTATTTGGTATCAATTACCAACAGCAAACATTTTTTGTATTATATTTTTGCTTCAGAGGTGCCCTAGGATCTTTTTAAAACAAATGTTATCCAGAATTTTGACAGTTCATCGGAAAATAAAGAACAATTATAATGCGATCTGAGAACATTTACATCAGCTGAAGCCAGGTTGCATTGGTTCTGGTATTTTTACTAGCACCTTTACACTTGACGAAGAAATATTTTTGTCAAGGGCAATTTTTTTCAAAGCTTCATTTTAATTAACCATTCTAGCGATAATATTCGGATAATTTATTTCAACAGTTTTCAAACTGAAGAGGCGGATTTCATGAAGTAGTTCCATCTAATGAAAATACCCAATTCTAGGCCAGATTGTAAAGCAAAACCCATTTCAGACCAAACTTGCTCCAAAGACATATCCTTTGGCGCCGCCCTTTCATGTATAGCTTATGTTAGGAGGTACCCTGGGTGAGTAAGTTTTTTTTTTCGACCTGTAAGATAATTTCCGATAGATTCCATGGCTCGGTTTGTCAGTTCAGAACAAGACCTGCTGCGAATAGCACATGGCCAAGATAAAGATCCGTGAGGTCAAAAAATTGTTTTTCTGAGAAGAAGTAAAGGTCTGTGTAGACAATCAAATTATTTTACATTATTGGAAGTTCCTGACTTTAAATTACTTTAATAAGAACGCTCTTTTCACTTGAAATCCTACGCCCAGAGTAGGGTAACTTTTCTTTTGGAGTTTGGTAAGAAAAAAAACTGACTTCGAGAAAGGACCTAAATTGCTTGCGGTCTTTAAGAAACAAATGCTACTCCAAAATGTAAATGATAACAAATAAAGAAATCTTGCGTCCTTTATTGAAGAACGTTGATCAGCTTCTACACTACAGTATGCAGGTGGTAACAATTCGGCATCTCTAATTCGTATCGAAAATCATCATGTCATAAATGCTGATTAGCGCAGTTCTTAGAATCATATTACTAATTAGTTCTCTTCTATAGAATGGTCGACTCTGTTCCGCTTATTTCGTAGCATTTCTGGCAAACGCATCGGTTTGTTTCGTCTGTATTCGTTCAA